AAATTACCGTGTGGCTTGTAGCGCACAAGACAAAAGAAGAAGATTTACTCATTCAATTAAAATTTTCTCAATGTTTGAACACTTAATCATTCTAATCGGTCCAGCAATCTTTTCAATCACAGGACAGACGCACAGAACCAAGCCCTGACCTCTTCTCTTCGAGCTCCTGCAGATTGAGACCTGTCTTACAATCCGAGAATTCCACTGCATTATAGCTCTCTCTGTCTCTCACTCTATTCGTTTCCCTTACCCATGTACCTTCTCCTTTTGTCCGATCTGAAAACAAATACATTTTCAAGGAAATTAGGCTAATAGCATGTAGTAGAAGATCGTCTATATAAGAAAGTAGCTAAAATCCTTTGCACTGTTACAAATTAGAAAGCAGGCAATTGCAGTTTGTCTTCCAATGTACAAGATGGTACACGGTTACCTAAGAAACATCTTTCCATCTCAAATATTTATACAATAATAATAACCTCACACATCTCACACACGGCCCTCTGATCAATAACTAGACAGAGCCTGTGCTATGGTAACCAGATTGCTGATAAACATACTTATATAATTCTAAATACATACATAATATAGATCAATTACAACCAGACACAAAAAAATATATACAAAATTATTTGTCCTGGATGGGAATCGATATGTCGAGATGGGATAGACGTACTAGTGATGTAAGCGTTATATGTCTGTTTCTCTTGAATAAACTTTAAAACTGCCAAACAAACATAACAATTTGTAACGACATAACTGTCGTCAAATCATTATTTTAAGTGTTATTTAAAAAAATCAAAATAACTACTAATTAAATTTAACTCCCTATTTATTACCATAATAAAATCCTCATAAAACCTAGATATTTAACTTATTTAGTAGAAAAATTTAACAGTTTAAATCAAATAAATTAAAAACCCAACTTTATGTTAAAGATATAACTAGATACACAAAAATTAAAAAGCTTTCATTCATGTAAATTATATCTATTTTAATTAGCCATCAATGTCATCTAGCTGTCTTAAATATACTGATAAATACTCACTATGACAGAATTAATTAAAAATACAAATATTCTAACATTTCTAACATAAAATACAAACTTTACTACATTTAAATAAATAACTCTAAATACTAATTTACTAAACGATCTGTTGAAATTTATATTAGTTATAATTTATGAAAAATGTTTCTAATAATATATTTAACTATGCTTTTAAATATTTTATATCAACTTTTAACTAGTTAACTGTACTGAATTACGATTTTTAAGACATCCTTAGCTTACGTCACTAGATAAATTTTATATGATTTTTCACTGCCGTATTATTTTTGATCATGCGTTTCGTAAAAAAGTTTAGTAAGAATAAACATTGTGAAATGACATATTAGAAACAGTGATTTTTATTCCTATAAGTGAAGGTAAAAGCAATATGTAAACTTAGAGTTTAAGTATGAAACTCATTTTTGCGTATTATTATAACATACACCCAATAAACTTACTACAGAACTATTTTCTTGAAGAAAAAGACAGCTCTCGCTATAATTATAACATATGACTATGGCTTTTGTGTCCCGCGATACTTTCTACTGTACTTTAGACGGGACTATTTCGAACCAGGACAACTAAAATTGATATTACATAAATGTTTGTTTATGTGGAAATTGAATCCATAATACCCGGCAGTGGTCACTGAAAGCATTTTTTTTTTAAAGACAACTCCCGCATTAGGAATATATCCTGTTTCGCGGGGGACTTTACAAACATACATGAAACGGACACAAAGAACACCCAGACTCAGAACAAAAATTTGTGGATCACACAAAGTGTCGTCCCATGTGGGGTTGAACCCACAACACTCGACGTAGTAGGAAGCGGCGTGGCGACCGCTTAAACCACTACGCCATCCGTGCAGTCCACTGAAAGCATTATACTGATCAGAAGCAATATTTAAGAAAAAATAATAATTTATCTTGCTTCTTCATTAAACTAAAAAACAACATAATAACAAAATATAAAAAACCATTTGAAAAACCGAACCGGATAAAGCATTAATACGAAACCATATGTTTCGTAACTTTTAATAACGTTTTTACAACAGTGTCGTAACGCACCTAAATGGCGTAGCGTATACTAAGTATAAATGTCTTCTACGAACATTACCATAACGATTTCACGGTGATCTTTTTTGATTTTATATTTAACAGTGTGTCGGTCTGTTTGTGGTTACGATACCTATACGTAAATGGACAATGATAGGTTATTTAATGACTGTTAATGCGGCAATGGAATGCTATTCAGTGGCGGTCTTATTTAGCTGCGGTAATAAGTATATTAAGATCTTCTTGAGTGCATAATTCAATATTGAAATAATAGTTGATGCCCAGTCGTAACGGCACAGTGAGGGAAGGGTTTTCACGCGTACTAAAAAAAGTGGCTTCTACAATCACTGAACGGGCATTCGGCTTCGTGACCTTGACTTGATCATATCGTAATAGTTACATCATTCACAATAAAGAGCTCTGATCTGCCTATATAGAATATAATGTTTTATTCATAGTTACATGAATGAAAAAAATTGTTTGCCGCCATGATGTATTCGATTTTCGTTTGCGAATTATTTTGATTTAAAAACCAATAATTTTAAATAACTGAAAAGTAATAATAACTTTAAAAATCTCATCCACGGAAATCAAACTAGGAAGTGCCCGTGCACCGTACTGTTGATAAACATACTAAAATATTTCCAAATACAATACATAGGTAAATTACGCGCTATTAAATACAAATGAGCGTGATCATCACACAATTCTGGTTAAGAATCGAACCCACGACCTCCGTATTATCAATCAGGGTCACTAACCTCTAGAACAAAATGCCCGTTCGCCCGTAGTAGAATGTGCAAAGAAAATATAAATGTGTAGTGAAATGAACTCACGACTTAAGAGAGCAATATTTAAGTAAACTGTTTCCTTTTTTCAATTTTTGCTAAGCAATTTCCTATAACTATAATATGGCGTAATAAGGACTGAGAAATCATCAAACGTAGCAATGTTTCAACGATAGGTACGGCTAGTGTTAGCTGTCTATACTCGTTTTGCAAAAAATACGACTATTTCTTTAAATCGTCGGGCACAATACGATGCAGTGAATTCCAAGATCAGACTACTTCATATGTACACATGTTGTATATAAATTTAACTTTATTTAAGGTATAAACAACTAAGATATGTAATAAATATACCTATGTTGAACACCATGCGCCAGCTCGCTCATTACAGCCACGCGCGCGTGTTCATCAGCGTGACGTCCTCGGGTCATGCAAATTAAGGGGTTGAATAATAGCCATAGAACGTGTTGAGGAAAACAAACCAATAGTACTTAGTAAAAGCAATATTGTACTTATTAATTAAACAAATGTTAGGGTGCGCGTGTAACCTCTTAATAAACAAAACAGAATAATGTATTTAAACAAATAATTAATAAAAAAAATGCTCTATATTTATTAAAGACGGTTGCGTACGGGTGCAATGTAGGTACTAATGTGGTGTCAGTGTCAAATTATTAATCAAATACAGAATATCTTCAAATGAAGCAATTTTTTCATGAGACAATACATATTTTTTAATTGTCAATAAATGTTTTCTTTAGACGTTACTTTGGCGATCGCAGTGCCCGTCGACCGCTTATTATGTCGGACTCGAACCTACTAAAAACCACATTTCGTCTCGCGTTCCAGTAGCCGGGGAACCAAGTGGGCCTTAGAAAGGAAATCCCTGGTACCCCAATGGACCTCGGGCCATCTAAGGCTTGTAGATGACCCTCCTAGTGTACTTGGACCACGATATTCCCATTCTGCTTCCTAAAGGGCGCGCGCTCTGCAGCGCGTAGACCGCTGGCACCCGGGACGTACGATTTGGTAAATGTAAATGATGGTTACTGTGGGTTACCCTAAGGAGATAGACATATACTATGGCGGACTGTTTTATAGATTTTTCTAAAATATAAAATTCCGTAGTTCATCATTTTAGACAGCGTTTACAACATAAGCGCAAAAAAAAATATTTTTTAAGATATCGTATTACAAAACTTATAAATTGTCGGATTTTCTCTACTATATTATGCATGTATTATACACATAAACCTTCCTCTTGAATCACTCTGTCTATTGATGAAAACTGAATTCAAATTCGTTGCCTAGTTTGAAAGATCTAACCGTACAGAGAGCGGTATACAAGGTAAAGATACTCGCGGTATGCAATATTATGGCATTTTTTCTCAACTACACAGAAAGTAATTTGCACCTAAATACAAAGCCTTAATTACTGATTGGTTTATTTAGATAAGGATTATTATCATGATAGTGATAGAATCACTTTTTGTTTTGATCCATATTTTAGTTGACTAATTTTAACATAAAATGGTTATTATAGCTAAACTATAATATAATATTTAGATATACCTCCTCGCGGACTCTATTGTGCGCATTGATTTTTCCCATTTACCCCGAACATACAAATTCACAAACTTTACCTCATTGTAATATTAGTACAGATGTTTTAATCACGTATGTACTTCGGGGATGACCAACCTGGGCCCCTTTTTATGGAGTGAAGCATCCTGCTGTGAAGTGAGATGCTTGACAACGTCACAGCATGAAATATACACCTGATAAAGATCTTGCATGTTTAATTACCAATATCACATACGTTAGTTTTAATACTTAAAATGTTAATAGTTTTTGCCCGCGGCTCCACCCGCGTGCATGTCGGTTGTTGTGGTAAAAAGTAGCTTATGTTACTCGCTGATAATGTAGCTTTCCATTGGTCAAAAAATTAGTGGTGTACGCGTGAAAGCGTAACAAATAAACTTACTTTCAAGTTTATAACATAAGTATAAAAGTATGGATTAGTTCATAAAAATAAATCTATAACAAATGACTGAAAATATTGATTTTTTTTCAAAAATTATAAGTTAATATTGTTTTTTGTATTTTCAGACTAGATACTCGTGAAGGTGTCACCTCTCACTGGTCAGATGCGACCCTTGGCATGAGAGCTTCGTTCAAGAGTGACTCCAGGCCTGCCGTACTAGTTCTTACAAAATTGAGGTAAGTATGTTATAGTTGTTTTAGAAGTGTGTGGATAAACAACAAATCCATGCGGTGTCGGATTAACAATACGGAGTGATTCGGTGTCCGTTAATACGGATGAAATCAATATATATTCGTTAACTTATAAGCGATATAATCAATTTATATTCGTAAACTTTTGTGAGTGTGTTTGCTGTTCGGTCTCAGACTAGTTTCATTTTAAACCCCTATTTAAAGCCATTTTAATTTGCATTTACCGCCTCACAGCATAATAGGATATACAATCTAAAAATCTAATAGAGTTCCCAACGTGTGTACGTGGCTTTATCAGCAGGGCACACGATATTAATTAAGCGTAGTACACAATAGCGACGCAATATGGCGCCCATACAACTAATGACATGTTTCTTACCCGTATAATGTTATTCGCCCTTTAAAAGGGAATGGGATTCTTAATGGTTTTTGGGGCACCATTGAATTTAATTTTAATGTGTCGCATGTAGTTTTACTTTAAACTTAGAACTTATTTTTTTTAGATTTTTGTATTGTAATATTTATATATAGTTAGTTGAATAGTTATTATAGTAGTTTTGAAACTGCCGCATCCAATATAAATGTTTAAATAGGAGTTTAACGTTATAATGTTCATTGGATACGGATTACGGTGTGTGGTGACGGATTAAGAATATAGAGAGTCACCACCCCTGTTCATCCCGTGGGTGTCGTAAGAGACGACTAAGGGAGCAAACTACGCAGGACAACAGCACTGCAGAGAGAAGGAAAACCTGATACAAACCCTATACCAGCCCGTCTGGCCAGTGAGGTAGGTATAGTAGGTCAAAATCTCCTTTGTAAGGAGAAGCCTAAAAGGCCTATGTCCAGCAGTGGACTAATAAAGGTTAATAAAGGATGATAATGATGATGTTCATTGGATAATATTGCTATACAATTATATAAGTCAGAAAACTCTCTAGTTGAAAAGAGTATAATGTGATGAGATTGGTGACACCCGTATTTTAATAAACTCTTAAATACCATAAAATATAAAACCATATATATCGAAATATATCTTTTTTCTAAATAAATACTTGTATTTTAGAAATAATGACCAATTACTCTTTACAATATAAACACACACACAAACACCCTTCAATAAGTAGTGAGTAATTTAAGTCTGATCAGCTGAAATTATGCTCTGAATTAGATCGAAACTCTAATATTTCTAACTAAAACAATAAATTCGATTGTAAATTTATTTGTTACTATATCACATGTTAATTAGTGAATCGATTATTATGTTATTTTGCATACACGTTTGCAGGGGTACAGAATCACGCAAAGTTTGTGAGTGTGCGTGTATTGTATTTCGGCTTTTATGTAGAGATTGTTTGTTACTTCTAAAAATGGTTGGACAAATTTTTATTAAATTTTGTGTAGAGGCAGCTGACACACTGGAATTATACATAGGCTACTTTTTATCACAAAAAATGTTGTGATGAGTAGGGAATTTAAATATAATTGCTACTCTTTCAAACTCAAACGGTTAAGTAATACATGTTATAGTATCTCTGATAACTCGTGGGTAACACCGCGGGGCGCAGCTAGGTTTTGTTTAACTAGATTTTCTTTGACTTCAAACAGTTCGCGCGTTCAGCTGAAATTTATCTCCAATATTTTAATCTAAGTAAAATTTCTAACTAAAACTACAAATTCGATTTTAAGCTTATTAGTTACGCTATAACGTGTTAATTACAGAATCAATCATAATATCATTTTTAATACACGTTACAGAAAAGTACATGGAGTACCTTCCTATAAACTACCTTTTACGTGATCGAAACCAGGGATGAAAGCTAGTGTAATATTAGAAATTCGAAAATGTGGATGAATGTTAAATTTATAGGTTGTAGTTACCATGGACACAACTTTGTTCCAATATAAACTACTATTGCGGAGGTTTACAGAAATAACATTTAAAAGTCGCGGGCAAACGGTACTTAAGTACCAATTAAAAAATACCCAACTCTATATTCTATAAACAATCCATAATTATACATATTATAAATGAAAAAATGAGTTTGTTTGCTTGTTTGTTACGCTTTTACGTCTAAACCACTAAACCGATTATAAAAATCACCAATGAAAAGCTACATTATCAGCGAGCAACATAGGGTACTTTTACCGCCATAACCGTCATAAACGCGGACAGAGCCGCGGTGAAAAGCTTGAATAATATGTTTCAACACTGTTTATTTATTCCAGATAAATATAAAATCCTTGTTTATTTATTTATTTATGTAATTGTGAATAAAATATCAGGTTTCTCTCGGACTTGTTAAGCCTTAGATCATTAAAAAGCTTTGGGTTCAGGTAAACAGATTTGTTTTGTTAACAGCTTAGAATAGATTATAGCTCTGTGATTGAATTATATAAACACAGCTTGACCTACATAAGAATTTCTGACGTTGTGATTTAAAATTTTAGTATCGGTGACTCGACTGCAGTGATTCCACGGCCTCATAGACAACCGATATTAAGAATTCTTACGTTGCGTTGAGCGGAAATGTTTTAATATTACCATATATGTATAGCATTTGTGCAATATTTGTCTACTTCAGTAATTTTTTGGTATATATACTTTACAATAGTCTTAATTTTCAATTCAAGAAAACTTTGTGATTTATTTATTCTAAGTACGTAATTATTTTTGTTGTTGGTTTCAAAATCTACTTTTTTATTTTAATAATGCATAATCATAAATAATACAAACAATATCTTGAACAATTTATAGTTTAGTTATTTTTACTCGCTTTATTCGCTCCGCTCGCGTGTATGTCGGTTTTCGCGGTAATAAAAAGTAGCTATGTTACTCGGTGGCTTTCTATTTGTCAAAGAATATTTAAAATTGGTTTAGAGGTTTAGGCGTGAAAGCGTAACAAACAAACGAACTCACTATTACATCTTAATCTAAGTATGGATTAATTTTTTGTTTGATGGTTTGAGTAAAATATCTTGTACTAATTAAAACTTTAACGAAAATTCTGTTTTTTTAAATATCTTGTTATTTTAACTTTTATTGATACTTTACTAACGATTCTAAATAAAACTATTCATTCTAAATGAATTTATTACGGCAATATTCAACCGGTATATATATCGCTCTCAATATCAACCGACTAGTTACAAACGATTAATTGTTTGAAAACGGGATATTTATTGCATCGATACAAGATATCGTACGATAACGATGACAGTGTTGTATTCGATGGAATCGATTTCGTGTTATATGTAGTTTTTTTGACAGGTTAAACTGTTTTGTTCACGTTCGTCCCACTTGTTTCTTTTAAAAGAACGAAGTATTGAAAATATCATCATAACAATTTTTTTTTTACGAATTGAGAATCTTATTTTATATAAGCTTTTGCCCGCGGCTCCCGTATCCGTCCTCCCGTATAATGTAGTTTTCCATTGGTGTTTTTTTTAAAATCGGCTTAGTGGTTTAGGCGTGAAAGCGTAACAAACAAACAAAGTCACTTTCACAGTTATAGTATAAATATGGATGTTATTTAAACTAAATTGAACTAAAATAAATTGTTTTTTACAGGCCAGAGGACAGTGGACAATACAGATGCCGAGTGGATTTCATCAAGTCTCCGACCAAGAACACGAGGCTTAATCTCACTGTACTTAGTAAGTAATTACACTGTTACAAGTTAAGTTAAGGTGGCTTTACACTGCACTGATATAAGTGTGTACGATAAAATAATTTAATTGTACAACTGTCACGAAAGTCATGTAAAGGTAATTTATTATTTGGTTTAAGTCTTCTTTATGGGATAATGGGCAAAGAAGCAGGCGGGTCACCTGATGGTAAGCGACTACCGCCGCCCATGAACCTGCAACTCAAAAGTCACAAGTGGGTACCCAAACTTAATGCCCCGACCCCCCCCCCCCCCTCCGCTAAATCTCAGAGGAAGAGGGTTTGGGGTCCAGTAACCTCACTCACTCGTTGAAAAGCAACGAAAAAAATATGCTCATCACTGTTAGGCAGTTGTATCACTCAATCACTCTGATCGAGCTGGGTTCAAAGGTTAATACCTATCGTGAGCGCGTTAATGCCCTTAAACATAATTATATGTTACTAGCTGACCTGTGCAACTTTGTCTTGCTGCTTTCGAAAGGCATAAATTTTCCATGTTTTTGCAACATTTTTCAATGGTGCTCGCCTTCTATAGGTTGTAGCGTTATCTCATATAGCCTATCTCGCTAAATGGGCTATCCAAATCGACCCAGTAGTACCGGAGATTACCATGAAAATACAAACTCACAAACTTTACCTCTTTATAATATTAGTATAGATGAAACGCGATTGTTTCAAAGTTAGAACTTTTTCTTCTTTTCAACCAAATCATTAATTGATTACCCGGAGAATTGCCAAACTTTGGCAGTGGGCGGGGCACATTCCTCGCCGAAAAGACGGTCGATTGAGCCAAAAAGTTCTAAAGTGGCGACCACGTACCTACCGGAAGACGGAACGTGGATAGGCCTCCCAAAAGGAAGCCGTAAGTAGCGGGCAGCATAGGATCGGTTCTTGTGGAGAGCCTTGGGCCTCCCCAACAACCCAGCAGTGGACGTCTTTCGGCTGAGATGATGATGATGAATCAAATGATTACGTATAGAACAATTGAGGATATAAAGAAAGTTAAAGATTTATTGGTTAATAAATAATTTAATTGTTTTAGTACCTCCGGAGCGGCTGATCATCCTGAACCACGAAGGGAACGAGATCAGAGGAAAAGTGGTTGGACCTTACGATGAGGGGACTGAGGTTAATTTAACCTGTATTGCAGTTGGAGGTAAGATTATATTATATATATACAGGGTTACTGGTTAAGTCGAGCTAGATACTTTAAGGGGTTATGACTGCCAATATTTCTGATAGATTTCACTATCAGATTTCAAGATATTAGAGTTTTAATATTTTTTTATAAAAATTACATACAACAACAATACATTTTTTTAGAATATTTCAAAGTTAGAAACACGAACTAAGCTATAATCAGGCGAACGAAACCCTGGGTAATAGCTAGTGTATTATAATTTTAAATATTATCGGGTTATTTAATCATGAAAATCCATGCACAATGATGTCCCCTATATCCACACAAAACATACGTATATTACAGTTGCGGTGAGTTTATCTGGCTCTGCTGACATGTTTTGCGCTCAATGAGTTTGAACTTTCAACTATCGTATTGAAAATATCAGAAAACAAAGGAATTTGTAAATGATATTTGCAATTTGATAGATACTTTATAAGCACCTAAAATTATAATGATAATCTTCTTTATACAATTTAAGGATGTTCAATAACAGTCATATTAGTTTAAAAACTGTGTCGTGGAAGGATTGGTTAGGGTTATGATAAGATTATCTATTTGAGGAGAAATTCTGTTTCAACATGCTGCAGTCTCTTCGAAGTTACCATGGCAGAACCCTACACATATGGGTCGGCTAGGCCGTAGTAATACCATAGTCTCGCAGAAAATCAGTGTTAAGCATTTTTCTCCTCGCTTTTCACCGAGTACGTGTGGTTACTAAAGGCTCAACCATACCTAATTGTGTAGGAGCACTCAAAGGTGGCAAATACCCTTGGGTCTCTCTAGTTGCAAGTGTCTCATACAAAAAAGAAGTTCGAGAAGGCCAATTCCGATAAAAAAAAATCGATCATCATTTTGTTCCGATCTGCTGTTGATCTCACGAATGTCACAAAAGGTATTTTCGTAGTAAAGTATTAAACATCCAACGTTGACTGTGATGTGATTATATCGTATCGTGTCGTATCGTATCTTCTCTAAAAGATGCTGCAGACAAAAGGCCTATTCTCGTATTAAAAATTCGGTCTAAGTCGTCGGTCGGTTAAGATTAACAGATTACGGATTCAGATAAACGTAAAACTGAATCCGTAATCTGTTAGTCTTAGTAATACTTTACTACGAAAATACCTTTTATGACATTTGTGAGATAGTAGATCGGAACTGAATTTTGATGGATTTTATTACGAGAATCGGCCTTTTGTCTGCAGCATCTAGTAGAGAAGGTACTATATTTGAATGTTTCACGAATAGATACTTTTACATTGTGCATACATATTTGAAAATGACGAAAAAGATAAAAATAATATGACATGATTTGACAGGTATGCATGATATAAGGTTAAACATCCACCCTTAGTATTCCTCACGAAGCACGTAAATAAATCACCAAAGTTATTAATAGTGTTAAAGTCAATTGTACGCTATCTTCAGTAGACTTCGAGTAAATTTTACACGACTTACAATGTATGGTTCAAATGTGTAAACACTCGCAATTATGTGATCACCCCTTTAGGCGAGGCGAGGTTGGCAAGTAACTAAAAAAGTATTGTGGCTCTATCAGGCCAGGCCTTTGAAGCCACAGCCGTAAACTCATATAGGCAACCAAGTACAACTGCTATAAGCTAATCATAGGAATCCCTTGTCTTTGTTTTTTAAATTTCCGAAATAATCGGGTTCTACTACACGTTTTTATAAGTTATATTATACGTATCAATTGAAACACGTCAATATCCATAAGATAAGAAAAAAAAAGAAATAGTACATTCCCTTACTTCTGCAAGCTTCATGTTTACGCTTGGTTATTACACGTTGATTTTCGAACAGAATAAAATTCAAAATGATATCAGTTTACGGTGGAACTACTGCGCTTGTGAGGTCGACCCTTCGTCACATCTTTTATCAGCTACCAGCGTAATGTTGCCGACATTTTTTTTCTACATCCCAATTTCACGGCTGACAAACGTGTTCCCTGCTTCTGAAATTTTCACAACCTGTATCAAACGTCACGTGCTGCGATTTACGAAAAATGTCCGATTCACGCACACGGATATTGTGTGAAGGCGCAAGTTATGAGAGTTAGCGATTTTATAATTTTGAAGATATTTTGGATTATCCTTCTTTTGGATCTGCAAAAGAAGTGAATTCGAACCAAAATATTCTAAGGGAGTGACGTAATTTACAGAAGTAAATTCTTAGATTACGTTGAGATTACGATCATTAATAAATAATAGTAACTTTAACTGCCGTGTTTGAGATACACATACCTAATAGTCTGGTCATAAACTGGGCAGAACCTGTACCAGGTAATCAGACTGCTTATAAACATACTTATATATTTCTTTATACTATAGGCTGAGGTGATGATGATGATGATGATAGATAAATTACACACAGAACAAATGATCGTGTTCATTATATAATTATTTGCCCTGGGTGGAAATAGTACCCACGACTTCTTAGCAGTTAGGGTCAATAACAACTAGACTAGCAGCAGATTAGCAGCTTTTATTCCCGCAATTTGCTTTTCTTTCCATTCTGTGGTCAGCTCTCTAAACTAAAAGATCTACGTGATTAACATAATTGAAAATAAACCCTTTCCTTGTAACTTACAGCTCCCCATAACTTCCTTGACTCCAACTTGACAAGGGTACACGCCAAGCTATTGTTTTACAACTTTTTTTCTCACCCCTCGTTCACCGGTTGCACTAAATGTAGCTTGAAATATATTCGCCCTTGTCGGTAATTTTACTAATTTTCTTCTTTTATTAAAAATCAGAGTCAAAAATCGGTTAAAGTAAAATTAACGTCATTTTTTTTCTCTGGCTATTATAGCCTTATTTTACTGTTTTTTAATATTAAATAACATATGTTTGTTTTTTAAAGAACAGACGTAATTGGTGGTAAGTACTGACGTACGTTCATGAATATTATTGGGACGAAACAGCGGAAATACATGACTAGCATAGCAATTTAGTGTTGATTTCTGTATGCTCGAATCCAAAAAGGCTAATTTTTTTTTCTGTACACATGTGTTATAAAAAAAAACTGAAGATTTAGAATTCATACAAGAAAACAAACATTTTAAATATCCCATTTATAACACCTAATAAAGTGACAATATTAATTTGAATCAATACAAATAAGCACATACCAATATACAATATACATACCATATAACAAATACCACTGCTGGACATTTACCTCTCCTATTGCACGCCAGTTCGATCGATTTTGGGCTTCTTGCATCCATCTCCTGCCAGCCATCTTACGTAAATCGTCACTCCACCTGGCCTGTGTGGACTGGGATGGGCTGATGATGATAATGAAGATGATGGATCCTGATGTTGGATTTTTATCTGACATTATAAATACTGTTGGTTTCTTTATATATGGTATATATTTCGGACAGTATATACTTATATATGTTGTGTGTATGTCTATTGAATATGTATATATATGTATATATAAATATGTATATTTATAAATTTTGTTTATGTATGTGTGTATGTATGTATGTATGTGTATTTATCTATGTGTAGCGTGAACAGGTGTTTATTGTGTATGAATGCTTTTGTTTATATTTTAAATATTCACGTGATATGCGTTATGTGTATGTAAACTACCCAACTTTTAAATAACAAATATCCGTATCAAGGTTGTCTGGAAGAGAGCGATAAGACCGCCGATTGTTAAGTCTATATATTTGTAATGTCTTATGTGCTAATTTGTAAACAATAAAGATATAAATAAATAAATAAATAAATAATGAACAAATAAATATTCATGTTATGAAGGGCGTGGCATCCGACCATCCGATTGTAAACTCACTGGTTACGTTTGTTTCCCGCTGCTAATATATACCTATCTACCTATTAGTTTTGGTTCAACTGGTTACGATCGCAAGAAGCCGTATGATGCAGGCAGCAAGTTTTGCTTGTAAGTATCCCCAGCAGAGCTTGGTCGTTCTTCTGAATTCTTATAATGTGTCGCAGGGGAATTTTAAAAAAAAATACATACAACGGACACAAAGAACACCACTCAGATTCAGGACAACAATTTGTAGATCACATAAAGTGTTGTCCCATGTGGGGATCGAACGCACAACACTCATCTCAGTAGGAAGCGGCGAGGTGACCGCTTAAACCTTCTTTGTAGATTATATAATTTAATTATTGAATACTTATTAATTTTCTTCTGACAGGTCGTCCAACTGCTCGCGTGTCCTGGTGGAAGGCCCACGCTCTTCTCGCTAACTCAGAAGCCAGAGCTACAGTATCATTCACATTACAGAGATCGGACTTCGGTACGGATATAACTTGCCAGGTTTGTAAAATAAAAATACTTAGATCTTAAGTTATTCTGAAGGAATTAAAATTTTATAGTATCCAGAGGAACCCATGTGCCTTCGGTATACCTTGACGGAGTTGAACTAAAGCGGGTTGACAAATTTAAATACCTGGGTCATATTCTAACCGATGACCTCAGAGACTGAGAGCGCAGGGCGTTGGCGGTGAGAAGCAACATGCTCGCTCGCAGGTTAGCTCGATGTACATATGAAGTTAAGATAACGCTTTTAAAGCATTTTGCCAGTATTTCTACTCGAGTAGCCTATGGGCGGTGATACACCCTGCGTATTCAGTATAACAATGCTTTCAGAATGTTTTTGGGGCTGCCGCAACGCTGTAGCGCCTCCGGAATATTTGCCGAAATGCAAACTGACGGGTTCAATTCGATAATACGTAAAAAAAGAGCTTCCATCTTGCAACGTCTAAGGAAAACCAACAACAGCATACTGAAAGTCATTGCTACAAGGTTCGACTGCCCTTTCAAAAACATTTTGTTAAGGCAGTTATAGGGATAGTATGAAATTAATTTAATGTAATGATACTAATAATACTAACTTAATTACAAAAAAATTGTTACTAATACACCAACACTATGGACTGCATCACTACAGTCTGAAATAAATGATTTTTATTATTATAAATATAAAACTTTAATTGTATAGTTAACTATAGTATTGTGAGTAATGAACTATGTGTTCTTCCAGGCTGTCACGGACCCGTTGATATCACCAGTATCGGAGAACATATCCATCGATGTCAATTGTAAGTACGTGGTTAAATGAATATATTTTACCTTGTGAGAGCCATACTTGGGCGTAAGTGGGCTGATTCGACTGGAGTTATGCCGATGCCTTTCAAGTGAAGTGAAGTTACCTAAGATCAATCCCTCCGGCTCTCCCACCCCGGTTCTTAGATGGGACGCAAAGGATTGCAACGCACTTGTGACGCTTCCATGGGTGTAGTGTTGTCAACGCCATTAGGTGACCCGTCTACTCGATTACCCCTAAATCATAAAAATAACATCAAATTTCGAGTGTAATGTAGTATTATGAATATTAAATGCAAGTATTCCACAACTACCGAGTAGAAAACTGAGTGCATCCCACAACTATGAGTATTTAATCCCGCGAAGTTAGAAACTGATTCTTAATGTTTAAACTTTAGAGAGCTAATTACACATTCATTAACTCCCCCTTCCTATTCCACTGTTGCCAAGTGATAACTTGACTTCCGAATGGTATAATAATTATGCCATATTCGTGTTTACTTAGCAGAAGAGAGAGGGCGTGTCTCGTATCACGCTATTAATTATTCATGAGAATGAACCTAGTTAATGCGTAGTATGTATTGAGTCTTATAGGCTAAAATCTCACATGAAAAAGTAGTTAAAATTCTTGGGTAACAATCTTTAGCCAACTTTACTAACGATATTTTGAATGGGAACAGTAGCTACTCGTATTTTCTGTGTAATTAGCAAATGAGTAATGTGTTGTATCAATCAAAGACGATTTCAAAGTTTTTTTTTATAAAATAAAGATAATTTGAATTTGAATGGTAATAGCAGTGTAGTTAAAACGTAAAAGTGCAACAAACAAACAATTGCAAACAATTTTTATAAACAGGAACTAAATGTAACCTAATTAATTATTGAATATTTTGTCTTTAACCTTTGTTCCAAGTGCTATGTCTTCATAGGTGACCAGACGGAGTTCTGACAATATTTAATAAAAAAAAAACAGTATATCGGACAATCTTCATACATCTTCATTCAATAAAAACCTTATTTGGACTATAACTATTACATAAATTCAAATCAGTTTATCAATTCTTATGTGGTGCACTTGCTAACGAACAGAATTCCTTTTTTTTATAAATTTCACACAGTTTTAGATATAATAACTACATAAATTAAGGCTACCACGTTATAAGTATAACATACCTTTGGACTTTGAAATACAAACGTTTTGACTAGCTTGTGTTTGCCTATGAGTGGTCACATCAACACACGATTGTGGGGGAAGATTACGGCTTCCCTCGGGATAAGGCCTTGTTGTTGTGAAATCACACGGTACCGGTCCCTCCCTTTCGAGATAGTTTTTAGTGGAAACATTACGTATTCCTGGCTTCTGCATTATCACGATGGCGTACCCAAAGAGCTGGAGACCTATGATTGCAATAATTCCCATACATATACATCAGCATCATCAATAGCCTTTAATAGTAGACTGCTGGACATAGGCCTCTCTTTTAAAAAGGGAGGTTTTAGTCTACTAAACACGCTGGCCAGACGGGTTGGTATAGGGTTTGTGTCCCTGGGGTGCTGGCTAGAAAACCTCCTCGTGGTGCACCCTGGAAACGCTGGCGATGGCACTGTTTCCTCCTTGTCCTCTTGGAGGAGAGGATTATCGCCAGCGGCTAATATTCTAGCAGAAGAGGTAGCCGTTCATCGGCTCTCGGGCAAGGCCTGGTCCAGCAGGGTGGGCGTGTCTGCCGGTTGCCCTGCTGGCTCTTCGCTCTTCGGAGCATGGAGGAGGAAACCTCGGTAAAAAACCAGAAGGTGGGGCCCTATAGGGGCCAGTTTCTCCGCTGTTAGCGGTGGAGAGAGGAGGACGGGCTCGGCGTGTACTGACACTACCACCGAGCAGGCAGGGAGACGTAGTCTCCTTGTCACCGTCGGCATATCGTAATCCCGAGAAGAGCGCTGTGGTCAAGTCTCGCGGCTCTGATCGGGGACGAGGGTCTTGGCTTAACCGCCCGGACCGCGAGGAAGAAAACCTCTCTAAAAAATTCCCCGAATCCCGTGTTCTGGTGCGTGGCCAGGGGATGCATGGCTGATGGGTAGTTCAGTCGTAAGCGCACTCCCAGCCGGGGCACTTGCGGACCCCTCGGTTGGGCATAAATTTACGCTTGCCCGGGTATTGGGGGATCTCTGCCCGGGTGGACCGTTACTTCTCCCCCACTCGTGGGTTAAATTATGGAATTTGATAAAGAAAAAAATAGTAGAAAAGGATTGATCTCAACAACGACAAAGGCGAGCAAAACGGTAAAGGAAACAAACAAGGAGAAGGAAGAGTCGCAGAGGAGGAGTGGTGGAGTGGATCTGGCGTCCACTGGGGTGGTGTTGGGAACGCCTATCTCGGTGGGGCTCCCAGTAGTAGTCTGTAGTAGACTGACTGCTGGGAGCCGAAGATCGGAGCGCTTGCGCTCTAAATCTGCCACGGCTGGCGAGAGTGGCGGCTCCAGCGAGAGCATGGAGTTGGAAGCGGGACCGAGCGAGAGCCGGAAACGCGAGCTCTCGCGGGATGGGGAAGACAACCCATCCGTTGAGTCTGGGCCTCCTAAGGGCGGCCGCATAGGGAGGTCGCGTACCCCTGTCCCCGTCCCGTCAGGCTCCGCCTTCTCCAAGGCGGACTCCTATAGACGGGTACGAGCGGACGGCGAGGCCGCAGCGGAGGAGGAGATCGCGGGTCTCCTGCTCAAAATTCGGGAGCCGGTGGAGGGAGATGCCCCCCGGGCTCCCGTGTCTGTGCAGGAGAGGGCGAGAGCGGCGGTGGCTATCATACAGAAGGTAGCCACCAAGTCGGTTAACCTAAAGGGCTCTTTTGTGAGGGCCCTTAAGGACTCCTCCTCCGCCATGTCGGAGGTCGTGGAGGGCCTAGTAGGCGACGTGTCTCGCCTACAGATGGCCAATGACAGGCTGACGGAGCAGGTGAACGGGCTGAGCGCTCAGTTCGCCCGCTTCCGGGCGAACCTCCCCGAGCGGGGGGCCCCGTCCACGCCCCAGCCTGTCCCTACCGCGACCTCAGGGGTGCCTGACGCCCAACTGCGGTCAATTCTTGACGCAGTTGGGCGTATGCTGGACGGCCGTCTGGCCGGTCTGGAGGCGAGACTGCCTCCTGCGCCGGTCGTGCGCCCCCCGCTCGCGACGTCGCAGCGGCCTGGGGCCGCGGCTCCGACTGCGCTCCCCGTAGTGGGAGGCCGCGTGTCCTACGCGGCGGCGGCGTCGGCCCCGACTCCACCGGCTCCCCAGGGGCCGAGGAAGGGGGCCAAGGCACCGGCCCGGGCGCCAGCCAAGGCGCCGGCCCAGGCACCGGCCAAGGCGCCGGCCCAGGCACCGGCCAAGGCGCCGGCCCAGGCACCGGCCAAGGCGCCGGCCCAGACTAAAGCGGCGAATAGGAGCGGAGTGGCTTTCCCTCCGCTCCCCGCTCCGACATCCCTGCCGGGCCCCTCCGCACCTGCCCCCTCCAACGAGGGTTGGCAGGAGGCGAGGGGCTCAAAGAAGTCCCGAAGGCGGGCTAGAAGGGCTGCTCAGAAAGCAGCCCAAGCCCAGCCTTCGCCACCGGTGGCAACGGCCTCAAAAAGAGGCCGCGGAAGCTGCAGCCGCCCAAAACCGCGGCTGTAGTCGTGACGCTGTCGCCGGAGGCGGCCAGTGGCGGGCTCACGTATGCGGCCCTCTTCAAGGGGGCCCGGCCCGGTCTCGCCACTGAGTTCGGGGAGGCGGGGATGAGGCTGCGCCGCGCCCAGACGGGAGCTCGGGTCTTCGAGTTCCCTGGGGCTGAAGGCGCGGCGACGGCCGACAAATTCGCCGAGAAGTTGCGGGGAATTTTCGCCGCCACGGACGGTGTTAAGATCGCCAGGCCCACCAAATGCGCAGAACTGCGCATCTCGGGCCTGGACGACTCCATCACGTCGGAGGATGTCCGCGATGCAGTCATGGAGAAGACTGGGTGCACCGCGGACACCATCAGAGTCGGCACCGTCCGTCCGGGCCCGGGAGGCCTCGGTGCGGTGTGGGTGAGCTGTCCCGTGGCGTCGGCCAAAGCACTGGGCGACGCCGGAAGCATTCTCGTCGGCTTCGTAAATGCCAGAATCACGGTTCTGGCCGCGAGGCCGATGAGGTGCTTCAAGTGCCTAGCCGCGGGACACACTCGCACCAAGTGCGAGAGCTGTTTTGACTGCAGCGGATTATGCTTCCGCTGCGGTCAACCCGGGCACAAGGCGGCAGAGTGCTCTTCCGCACCCCACTGCCCGGTGTGTGAGGCGGGCAAAAAGCCCGCCAATCACATGATGGGGCAGGGGGGCTGCAGGCCTCCCCGCGCTTCTCGGCAAACGCCGGGGGCTAGCCTGCCGACCCAGGCTACCCCCGACGTCAATATTGCGTCGACGCCGACGCCCATGGAGGAGGTTGTAGAGACGATCCAGTAATGGATCAAGTCTCCAACCTCCTGGTCCAGACGAATCTCAGCCACTGTGCTGCGGCGCAGGATCTCTTCCTGCAAACCATGGCACAGTGGTCGATAGGTGTTGCCGTAGTCGCGGAGCCCTACTTTGTTCCTCCCCGTCCAAACTGGATGGGTGACCGGGACGGCTCCGTGGCAGTCGTCGGCTCCACGGCGGCTCATTCCCCGCCCTTGTCGTTAAGAGACAAGGGTACTGGATATGTTGCCGCCGATTGGGGGGGAATCACCATTTATGGTGTATATTTCTCCCCCAACCGGAGCTTGAACGACTTCGAGGTCTTCCTTAACAACTTGGAGGCCTCGATGCGGCGACTAGTGTCTGGGCACGTCCTCGTGCTGGGGGACTTCAACGCAAAGTCCATTGCGTGGGGTTCCCCTGCGACGGACGCCAGGGGCGAAGCCGTCGAGGAGTGGGCGGCGTCGGTGGGCCTCTGTTTGCTGAACAGGGGCTCCACCAACACGTGCGTGCGACAGCAGGGGGGGTCGATAGTGGACCTTTCGTTCGCTACCCCTGCAGTCGCCGCACGAGTAAGGAACTGGTG